CCCCGCGAGCCGAAGCGCCCGACGACTCGCCGGGAGCGGGTGTGCCGAATTGACTGGCATTCTCGCGCGCCGCGGCACGACGCGAGTGTTCCGCTCGGCCCTTGCTCGGACTCGGGCTCGGCGAGTGCGATGTGAGGTTCGAGGTCGAGCTCGAGCCTGTCTTTTGACCGTTGGCTGATGGACCCGCGTTCCGGTCTTTGTTGCGGTACGTATATTGGTTCGGGTGACGTGGCTTCGACGAGGCGGCCTCAGCAGTAACGGAGGCTTCTCGCACCGTGTACTGGTTGTTGCCCTTCTTCTTCTTGCTCTTGTCCCGTGATGCTGAGGTCGACATCTCCGCGGCGGCAGCCTCATCTTCCTCCATGTCGGCGTCTCCGTGGTGGTCAGCGCCACTGGCGCTCATGCGTCGTCGCTTGGAGTCCGCGGATGCGGATGCCGGGTCGATGCCACCCGCACCTGCCTCGGGTGTCTCTGCTGAGCTTTCGTTCGGGTCATCCGGAAGTCCACGCTTGCGCTTCTTGCCACCTTTGCGGTCGTCTACGCCATCCCAGACTTCGCCGTCGGCGAGCAGACCGGGCGGGATCGGTTCCCATCCGCCGTAGGCCGAATCGCGACTGTTCATGGTGCTTCGTCTCTTGGGGCTCTTGGGTTGCTCCTTGGAATTGTCGTTCCGCGAGTGGGCTCCACCCTTGCGGTCGCGAGAGTTGTAGGCAGCCGCGGCTGAAGCGGCTTCGGCAGCCTGCGTCCTGCGTGCGTTCTCCTGCGCCAGCAGCGCGATGGCGTCCTTGGCCTCCTTGAGCTCGCGAGCAGAGTATTTGGCGCCGCCCTTTCCGTTGCTCTTCTTGGCGGCCTTGGGCAGGAGACCGAGCGAGCGCAAGAGAGGGATGTGCAGCTCGGGTCGGCACTGCTCGCAGAAGTAGACGTCGGGGCAGTCCTCCTCGACCTGCATGCCCATGCACACGCAGTGCTGCCAGCACTTGCACGTCTCGCACTGGATCATGAGCCCAACGTTCTCGTCTGCACTGCCGCACACACAGCGAGTGACGCCTTCGTCGCCGCCTTCCTCGCCCTCGAGGTCGGCCTCGTCGGCGTTGCCGTAGTCGGCTTCGCCCTCGTCGGGCTGCACGTCGTGGCCGTCGATCTCGACTGCTTCTTGTGCTGTTTCGGGCTGACCTTCGAAAGCGGATCCGTTGTCCGCCTCGACCTTGGGATCGGCATTGCCTTCCTCCAGCTGCATGGCTTCTTGCAGCACTGCGGAAGCATCAGCTGCCTTCTGGTCGTCGTCCGCGGCGCCGACGGCGTCTGCGCTGGCTTCGGCGTCTTCATTGACGGCGGTAGCATCGTTGGTGTCATCTGCCTCGGCTGAGTCGGTTGGGGTGCCTTGCAGTGAAGATGCATCTGTTTCAGGTTCAGGTTTGGGGACGCGCGCCTTCGGGTCGGGCGATGCGCCTGGGCCGCGCCGAGAGCGGCGTGGGCCGAGCGCGTCCTCTGCACCGTCACCAAAGGAGCCAAGGCCAAGTTGAGCGAGCTCTTTGCTGGCTGGGGCGCCTTTGGCGTGGGCAGTGTCTCGACCGTTGGATTCGGTGCTCGTAGATTCTTCCTCCTTCTCGTTTGCGGAAGACGCGGATGCTTGCTCGTGGGCTCCGTTGGTGTCCGCATCCGCATCAGCCTCATCGCCACCGCCTTGCTGCGCTTCTGCGTCAGTGCTGGCACCCGCGGAGCCGGATGGATCGGCGTTCTCGGTTTTGCTGGAGTCGAGCTCGTCGCTGCTGCGCTTCGAGCCGTTGGACTTGCCGCGGGAATTCCTGCCGCCCTTCTTGGACTTGCTGGACGACTTCTTGGAGGGTGACGATGTGACAGCCTTGTCGTCGGATCCAGACGATTCGCGCGAGGCGGCATCGTCGTGGGCGGTTTCGGCGGAAGGTCGAGCTGTTGAAGCTTCTTGCTCGGCGGCTTCTGTCTGTTCAGCGGAGCCCTCTGCACTCGCAGCTGGAGCTTCTGTCTCTTCTGTCTTGAAAGTGGTGGCTGCCTCGCTAGTCTCGAGCTGGGACGAATCAGCTGTAGCTGCCTCTGAGGCTTTTGCGTCCGTCTCTGACGAGCCAGACTTGCTGTGCCTTCCCGCCATGATGATGTGCTAGGGGAAGTGGGGATGAAGGAAAAGCGGGCCGGACTGGCCGAGCTGCCGCGAAGTGGCGTGGATGGGAGGATAGGGTCGGCTTCAGAAGGGTCGAGCAATGTGGACTGGACTGAAGTAGTGCTGCGCTGTCAAAACCGGAGGGTCGAAGAGAAGAAGCGCGCTGAATGTAGAGGGTGAGAGGAGCGGAGCAAAAGGAGTTCTCCGTGTAGGGAAGACTAGGCCCT